GTGACGTAGTAACTACATTATCAGTGGTGTAGTGACTACATTATCAGTGGTGTAGTAACTACACTATCAGTGGCGTAGTGACTACATTATCATTGACGTAGTAACTACATTATCAGTGGTGTAGTAACTACATTATCAGTGGCATAGTAACTACATTATCAGTGGTGTAGTGACTACATTATCAGTGCTGTAGTAACTACATTATCAGTGGTTTAGTAACTACATTATCTGTGGTGTAGTGACTACATTATCAGTGGTGTAGTGACTACATTATCAATGACGTAGTAACTACATTATCAGTGGTGTAGTAACTACATTATCAGTGGTGTTGTGACTACATTATCAGTGGTGTAGTAACTACATTATCAGTGGAGTAGTAACTACATTATCATTGACGTAGTAACTACATTATCAGTGGAGTAGTAACTACATTATCAGTGGCGTAGTAACTACATTATCAGTGCTGTAGTGACTACATTATCAGTGGTGTAGTGACTACATTATCAGTGGTGTAGTGACTACATTATCAGTGACGTAGTGACTACATTATCAGTGGTGTAGTAACTACATTATCAGTGACGTAGTAACTACATTATCAGTGAAGTAGTGACTACATTATCAGTGACGTAGTAACTACATTATCAGTGGCGTAGTAACTACATTATCAGTGACGTAGTAACTACATTAACAGTGACGTAGTGACTACATTATCAGTGACGTAGTAACTACATTATCAGTGGCGTAGTAACTACATTATCAGTGACGTAGTAACTACATTATCAGTGACGTAGTAACTACATTATCAGTGACGTAGTAACTACATTATCAGTGACGTAGTAACTACATTATCAGTGACGTAGTGACTACATTATCAGTGGTGTAGTGACTACATTATCAGTGGTGTAGTAACTACATTATCAGTGGTGTAGTAACTACATTATCAGTGACGTAGTAACTACATTATCAGTGACGTAGTGACTACATTATCAGCTCAGGGGGTGCGGCAAGGTGAGGCCCCAATATTTGATTTGTCTCGCACGGTCGCACCCTAGAGGCTATGAGACATCGCGGCTCCTCTTGCCCTAAACACATCATCCGTACGCTCACGGTCGCAAACATTTAATGCTGTAGGAGGCGCTCCATCTTCACAAAATGCAGCCACCACAGCTCCGTAGTCCTTGTTACCTCTTTGTAACATCACCTTACTGCTCTTAACTGAATTTAAATAAAACGTGGAACGTAAATGGACTCATTTTCATTTTTTTAAAAATTACGTGAACTGCGTTGTCAATAACTTTTTTGTTGTTCTTTGATGCCGTTGTTGAAATCAAATACCATGGTGGTTGTCAGGGGGGGGGGGGCAGCTCGTAGCTTTGGCCACCAACGGGGAGAGGGGGTGGCACCTCGTGCCTCCGCGCTTGCTGCCACGGTTGCTAGGAGATGTTAACTACCTCGCCTGGTAGGCAGGATGCCGTGGGTTCGATCCCCACCTTGAACCCTGCTGTATATTTGTAGTTTGCGGCGTCTCTCTCCCCGCGGTCGTGTGGATTTGTTCGTCTCCGGCTTCTCCAGCTTTCCCCCTCCACGTTTTAGAATCAACATCGTGGGGTTTAGAGTATTATTTGTGCTGCAATACATTGACGTGCGATGATATCAGCAGCCACTTCGTCGAGCCATCTGCTTTGTGAGAGCCAGGGCGCTTATCTGGTATACAATAACACTGAAAAAATAATTCTAGATTTAAAGCTTTCGTGACTGCAAGGATCCATACTCTTTGGTTCTATTCGGTAAAGTCACGTAAAAAAAACAACAAAAAATAATAATAATAATAATAATAAATAAAAAATGCCGCGACGTGTCGGCCAGCACGTGCGGTCGACACTTGCTCCCCCCCTGTACATCGTTCATCATGCTAAGTCCTCCAATTAAATGCTATTTTTTATGCTAATTCCTTTGTCAAGGCGCTCTGCTCCCTCTCACACTGCTTAAAGGTCACGGTCTGAGCTTGGCTCTGTTTCACTCCAGCGCTCTCCTCTAGACAGTCTGCTCCCTTCACCTGATGAAGGCCACTTGTGTTGTGGCCGAAACGTCGTGAATTTTTTTGTTGTTGTTTTTTTACGTGACTTTGCCGAATAGAACCAAAGAGTACTGAAAAAATTATTTAGTTTTGCTACTGGTCGGTCTATGCAAAGCCTACGGCACTCACATTTCCGGCCGGCGATGCCGCCCCTCCGGCTGGCTGACGTCTCATCATCTCCTCCATCCTACTAGAACCCCACACACGCGCGAAGCATTGTAATTTTTACGCAAACATTAAACACCACCCCCGCCCACCCCCGCGCCCTGGCCTTCGCAACACTGATTCACAAGTAATGATCTCACGTCATGTCCCGCTATTTAAGAACCGGGCAGGAGGAGGATTTATCCACAGCTCTGTGGCTGTCCGCCTGATGATGCTGAGTTGTAATTACAGGCGGAACGTCACGGGGCTCATATTGTAAATGCTGCAGTGGCTTTACTCTCCAACAAACAACCGCTGTGTGCTGTACTGGTAACGAATTGGCCACGTTTTGTTTACGTGACACACCTTACTAATTGGCTGTGTCGGGTGGTGGTGGGTTTAACGACACATTTATATTCACACGATGTAACCCAACAAAATCTACAGAGACTCCTCTACTTAGGAACTAGTTGGGTTCCATATGTCTGTTCGTATGTCGATTCGTTCGTAAGTCCAACTTTACTCCTGTCGATTCCAAACATGTTGTATGGCGTGTACACTTAACCCGGGAATGGCATTTAAAGTTATATAATCTCATTTAGATGTAGATGTCACTGGTTTTTCACGTTCTGCAGATGTAGATGCCACTAGTTCTTAATGTTCTACTGATGTAGATGCCACTGGTTCTTCACGTTCTGCAAATGTAGATGCCACTGGTTTTTCATCTTCTGCAGATGTAGATGCCACTGGTTCTACAGATGTAGATGCCACTGGTTCTTCATGTTCTGTGGATGTAGATGCCACTGGTTCTTCATGTTCTGTAGATGTAGATGCCACTAGTTCTTCATGTTCTGTAGATGTAGATGCCACTAGTTCTTCATGTTCTGCAGATGTAGATGGAACTGGTTCTTCATGTTCTGTAGATGTCACTACCGCCATCTATTGCATGGCGGTTGAACTTACGACTCTCGGTCCGAACAGGCAACTGGACACACGGACAGGTTTGTTCATATCTCTGAAAGTTCGTAATTCACATATATTCGTAAGTAGAGGAGTCCGTGTGTTATGGATAATATTCAACCACGCAATATCTCTCTATCCAGTCCACTCGATCCACGCCCGACCGCCTTTGTTTCCCCCAGTAGTGATGCTGACACAGCGCACCATGTCAGTGGACGCACTTGAGGCCGAGTCGACCTAGGGGAGGCCCAGGATGGGTTCAGATAATCATCGCCGATGTTGGTCGTGAGCGGGAGTCGAACATCAGGTCGCCAGGGTTCGTGGCGCAGTGCGGAGCTAACCGCTACCACTAACCGCTCCCTATTTGGCCACTCACCCACCCACCCACTCACCCGCTCAAGCCATCACCCACCCACTCGCCCGCACACTTACCCACTCGCCCGCACATTGACCCACTCGCCCGCCCAACTCGCCCGCACACTTACCCACTCGCCCGCACACTCACCCACTTCCCCGCACACTCACCCACTTCCCCGCACACTCACCCACCCACTCACTCACTCGCCCACACACTCGCCCACAGACTCGCCCACTCGCCCACCCACTCGCCCACCCAACTCACCCACACACTCACCCACTCGAACGCACACTCACCCACTCACCCGCACACTCACCCACCCGCCCACCCACTCGCCTGCCCAATTCGCCCGCACACTGACCCACTCGCCCACCCACTCACCCACTTGACCGCCCACTCACCCGCACACTCACCCACTCGCCCACCCACTCGCCCACTCACCCGCACACTCGCCCACTCACCCGCACACTCGCCCACTCACCCGCACACTCACCCACTCGCCCACCCACTCGCCCGCCCAACTCGCCCGCACACTGACCCACTTGCCCACCCACTCACCCACTCGACCGCACACTCACCCACTCAACCGCACACTCACCCACTCGCCCACCCACTCACCCACTCGAACGCACACTCACCCACTCACCCGCACACTCACCCACCCGCCCACCCACTCGCCTGCCCAATTCGCCCGCACACTGACCCACTCGCCCACCCACTCACCCACTTGACCGCCCACTCGCCCACTCACCCGCACACTCACCCACTCGCCCACCCACTCGCCCACTCACCCGCACACTCGCCCAATCACCCGCACACTCACCCGCACACTCACCCGCACACTCACCCACTCGCCTGCACACTCGCCCGCCCACTCGCCCGCCCACTCGCTCACCCGTCCGCTCACCCGCCCGCTCACCCACTCGTCCACCCATTGACCCACCCACTCGCCCACCCATTGACCCACCCATTGACCCACCCACTCGCCCACCCACTCGCCCACCCACTCGCCCACCCACTCGCCCACCCACTCGCCCACCCACTCGCCCACCCACTCGCCCACCCACTCGGCCCCCCACTCGCCCACCCACTTGGCCAACCACTCAGCCACTCACTCGCCCACTCACTCACCCACTCACCCACCCACTCGCCCACCCATTGACCCACCCACTCGCCCACCCACTCACCCAACCACTCGCCCACCCCCTTGCCCGCCCGCTCATCCACTCACCCACCCACTCGCCCACCCATTGACCCACCCACCCACTCACCCAATCGCCCACGCGCTCGCCCACTCGCTCACTCGCTCACCCACCCGCTCACCCACTCGGCCACCCGCTCGCCCACTCGGCCACCCGCTCACCCACTCGCCCACCCATTGACCCACCCACTCGCCCACCCATTCACCCACCCACTCACTTGCCCACTCACCCGCCCACCATCACCGGTGAAAGTAACCGAGGCCACCACCCAAGGTCGTCAATCATCCCCACCTCCTCTTTTAGTTCCTTGCATTGCTCCATTGTTCCCGTCATCATCAACAGCACCTGGTCTCGCTGCGATATGTACAAATACACGGGACGTGTGTGTGGTGCACAAGTCTACACCTCGCTCCTTCACAGCATCACCCCCCCCCCCCCTTCCTTCCTTCCCCCCGCCCCCCAACAGCCCAGCGATAGACAATGAGAATAATCTATGGATTGTTAGACGCACTCAATAACCCCCCCCCTGCCCCCCGTCACGCTACGTTAAAGCAAACGTTTGGGAGTGCGTCTTATACTCCGGTAGCTGTGTACGGTGTTAACTTAATTTACACAGGGAAGACACCCGGAGTGGCGTCTTACTTTCCGGATCGTGTCTTATACTCCGGAGAATACGGGGGTAGCGATTATTCATCGATTAATGATCGATTATTTACATCAATTAGTTTTTGGCTCCAGGTACATTGCATAGAGTATTTTCGCGCCCGCGAACGAGTGTCGATTCTTCTCATTACTTTTAACCCGGCACGCGGAGGCACCCGCAGAGTTGCCGGACAATCGGCTCGGGAATCACGAGACGGAACGACACCGCCAACGCAGACAGAACGACACCACCAACGCGGACAGAACGACACCACCAACGCAGACGGAACGAACGACACCGCCAACGCAGACGGAACAAACGACACCACCAACGCAGACGGAACGACACCACCAACGCAGACAGAACAAACGACACCGCCAACGCAGACAGAATGACACCAACGCAGACGGAACAACACCGCCAACGCAGACAGAACAAACGACACCGCCAACGCAGACGGAACAACACCGCCAACGCAGACGGAACGAACGACACCACCAACGCAGACGGAACAAACGACAACGCCAACGCAGACGGAACAAACGACACCACCAACGCAGACGGAACAAACAACACCGCCAACGCAGACGGAACAAACAACACCACCAACGCAGACAGAACGACACCACCAACGCAGACGGAACAACACCGCCAACGCAGACGGAACGAACGACACCACCAACGCAGACAGAACGACACCACCAACGCAGACGGAACGAACGACACCACCAACGCAGACGGAACAACACCGCCAACGCAGATGGAATAAACGACACCACCAACGCAGACAGAACGAACGACACCACCAACGCAGACGGAACAACACCAACGCAGACGGAACAAACGACACCGCCAACGCAGACGGAACAAACGACACCACCAACGCAGACGGAACAAACGACACCGCCAACGCAGACAGAACGACACCAACGCAGACGGAACAACACCGCCAACGCAGACAGAACAAACGACACCGCCAACGCAGACGGAACGACACCAACGCAGACGGAACAACACCGCCAACGCAGACGGAACAAACGACACCACCAACGCAGACGGAACGAACGACACCACCAACGCAGACGGAACAAACGACACCAACAATCGGACAAAACGACGCAACCGAGACGACACGAAACGAAGGAGGCAGACTCTCACCCCCCCCCTCCCTCCCTGAGATGATAAATCTCGACTCTAGAGTCCCACATCCGCAACCTCCGCCCGAATCTCGGCGTGCGGAGATGGCGAGGTGAACGCACGCAGGGACTGTGCTTAGGGTTGCCACCTGTCCCGGGGTTTCCCCCCGAGATCGACCTCTCGTTATTGAAGAGGCAGCTCTGACGTCCTCCTGGGAGAGCCGAGCCCCCCCCCCCACACCCCCTACCCCCGCTTCTGTCAGTTTGATGAGAACCGTCGTGGTAGTGGTGGTGATGGTAGTGATGGTTGTGGTAGTGATGGTGGTGATAGTGATGGTGGTGATAGTGGTGATGGCCTTGGTGGTGATGGTGGTGGTGATGATGATGGCGGTGGTGATGGTGGTGATGGTGGTGATGGTGATGGCGGTGGTGATGACGGTGATTATGGTGGTGATGATGATGCACGCGGTGCACCATTTCCCACCAATCGTTGGGAGTCATTTCGGCCACGCCGCATCCACTTCGCCTCTTCGCGTCAGTCTCGTTTTCGCAACGCAGCTGACAGGATTATTTCAATGCGGGACAAAGAGAGTTGAATCGTACGGGATTATTATCGGGCAGGCTTTGCCACTCCGACGGTTTTCGCCCAACGCCGTGGAACCCCGGACTCCCAAGCCCGCCGAGCAGCGTTCCGAACAGACATCGAGCGAGAGCAACAACGGAAGCTCCGATAAGTAATGAGGCATCAACAACTCCAGAATAATGGGTGCACCTGCGTGGCCGTGTGCGATATCCTCTTGCACACGATACGTCCCGGTTTTTGTGAACTCGGAGGTGGCAACCCCCCGCCCCAAGCACCCCCGGTACAGAGGAGATGCGTTTACATCCATAGCCGGTAGTGTCCCTGAAGAGTTCCATTTGTGGCGATGGTTCCGCCCACCCCACGGTAGCCAAGCCGCTGTCCCCCGTGTCACCCTCCGCCCCCCCCGGATGTCACATGGAACTGGCCGTTCTTCACTCTGTCGCGTTGCCCGGATTATTTTTACCACGATGCCGCGGGGGGGGGAGGGTGAATGTTTACGCGTCCTTCATGACGGCGCTGGTGGCTGAACCCACCCACCCACCCCGCCCCCAACATAAAGCGGAACCGGGCAGAGAAGAAAGTGAAAGGGGAAGCCGTCCAGTTGTGGCCGTGGGCCTCGAGTTGAAGGTTCCTGTTCCTCCTCTTCCGTCTCGGATGCCGCTTTGCCCATCTCGTCCGCCCCTCCGCCCCACGCTCCCTCCATCTCGTCCGCCCCTCCGCCCCCAATTCACGGTGATTGCCAAACGAAGCCACGGCGTGATGCAGCAGACGCGTGATGCTGGTTCGCATTAAGATCGAGATCCTGTACACGTGTGTATACACGTGTGCGTGCATGCCCCACGTGACACGGGCGAGCGTCGGTTCAAATCGAGACACCGTGCGAGTCGACGAAGGTCGAGGCAGCCCCCACAATGTCTGTCTGACGCCAGCACCACTGGGCAGGCTCAACGTAAAATCTCTCCTCGCTTCTGGCACACTCCAGGTGATGTGGTCGTAGGTGTCTGGAGATGGCATCGCGTGAGATCACGCGTCCTGTCATCATCCCCATCGTCGTCATCAATATCATCTTCCTCTCATCAACAAGCAACATCATCATCATCATCAATACCACGTCCATCACCAATCACCACTCTAAAAACGTTACCATCAAACATCGCCATCATCATCACCCCCGATGCCATCATCACCATTGTCATCAGCAGCATCATCACCATCTTCACCATTGTCAGCAGCATCGATACTATAACCATTGCCATCACCAGCCATCACCATCGTCATCACCACCATTATTATCAGCAGCAGCAGCAGCATCATAACGTATTCTTCGTTGGTGGCAAACGCAGGCTCACGAACAGAGTTTGCGACTTCCCGGACCACAGCCATTGCCCCGCTCAGTGGCAGTGGGGGGGTGGGGACCTCCCACAACCCCCTCCTCCGGTGGTGGCTGTGTGGTGGTGGCGGTGGTGGGGGCCACTGTTTAGACGTCCACCCCCCTCCCCGCTCGCCCCCCCCCACACTCACGCCACCCGTTGTGTTTACTTTCGGAGAGTTCAGTTTCCGAAGGTCAAAGCCTTCCACCGAGGGGCAGCGGGGGTGGGGGTTGTGTGTCTAGGGGGGTAGAATGCGGGGGTGGGGCGGGTACAGCCGAGGGGGCTCCCCCCACCCAAGGGGGGTGCCTCAGTACATGTCCTTGAAGATCTCCTGCAGCAGGGGCGGCATGGCCGTGTCGGCCTCCGTGCGCCGAATGTCGTGCACCATCTGGGCGTGCTCGGCCACCAGCTGGCGCAGGTCGGAGAGCTTCTGCAGCAGCTTGGGGAAGAGGAAGGAGCTCTCGGGGTGGCTGCGCCTCAGCTGCAGGTCGAGCGCCTGCAGCACGCGCTCCTGCATCCGCTCCACGGGGCCCACGTCCAGGAGGCCCGGTCGGTCTGGGCGCGGGCAAGCGAGCGACGATTAGAAAGCGGCGAGGGAAAATTTCGCCCGGCCGAGACTTTCAGGTGGCGCGCAACGCGGCAGGGAGGAGGGTGATTCAGGGGTTCGAGAAAATTCACAGGCAAGCGGGAAAGGAAGGCCCAGAGTTGCTCGCCAACAATTGTCCAAGCTCTGCCGTCCTTACAGTGGAACGTCCAACTGGGGATAGTGAGCGGTGTACACACGGCAGAGAAAACCGCGAGTTCCCCGGACAAAACGTGTTGGCCGTGAGCGGGAATCGAACTCGGGTCACTGGGTTCGTAGCGCGGCATGTTTATCGCTATAAAGACAAAGATCCCCCGTGTAGCCTTAGCATACTGCTGGGGAAAGTGCTGTGAGCGAGCACCTACGCAGGCCGGGACGTCACACGAGGGGGTGTGTGGCCAGCACCACACTCGGCCGCCTTTGTCTCCCCAGTGGCGCTTATTTTACCCACCGCACCAGGTTATACGACCACGATGAGACACACGGACATACATACACACAGACACACGCGTGTACACGAAGACAAATATCCCGTAGCCCACTGTTGGCGCAAGTGCTGAAACACAGGGACACAGACGCAGAGGGAAGGCCACCGCGTGGCCTCGGTAGCACCGTGACCGCACTGCCACCTGCTGCCCGCAGCATCGCTCTGCAGCCTGCATCATCTCGTCAAGGAGAATGAAGCCAGCGAGTGTTCTTCGTGTGCTAAGGCCACCGCGAGCCACTGGGGGCCTTCAGTGTGCACCCCCCCCCCCCTGCCGAACGTGAAAACTGAAAACTCCCCCCAACATCATCATCATCATCATCGTGCTGTTGTCACAAACCCAACAGTGGTTTCACATGGTGTGGCGGTCCCTCACACTGATGATGTCTGATCGGCCAAAGTGCCCACCCCCCCTCCCCTCCCACGTCGACTCCGGTGGCCATCCTCGCAGCGGCGGCGGCGGCGGCGGCGGTGGCGGCGGCTTCCGGCTGCTGCCATCTCACACAGACGACGGCGGCGGTCACCGCATCGCGTGGCGCTTGCGGACACGCTTTCTGCGGCCGTCTGGAACGCCTCTTCCTTCCCAAAAAACGAATCAGCTGGGAGCTGTGCACTTTAAAATCGCCATCTAGATTGACAAAACTCACTTCTTTAGAGCTGCGTTTTGTGTTTAGCTTGTTGGGTCCGCGCCTGCACCCGCGATGAGCACGGGTGGCTACATTGGGCATGAAAGAAGTTCAACAAACTTGCTGCTATGCAGCTGTGCAGGCCGTCGAGACGACCGCTGTCAGCGAGCCCCCATTTGGCGTGGTGTGGCTGGGACCACACCCAGTCACCTTTGTCTCCCCGCTGAACTCATCATTGTAGTCAGTCACCTGTGCGTGACTTGTGCTCTTTGGCACCAACCTTGGTTTCAAGATATCGCACAGTCATAAACCGCACACACCCCCACAAACACGGATTATACAAACACGGATTACACAAACACATTGCACACACATTTACAAACATATTACACAGGTTACACACAAAGATCCCACATATAGCCTGTAACCGCGACACTACTGCTCCCCACGGGCACATTACACACACACACAGATTACACACACACACGGATTCCACGAACAGATTACACACACACACATTAACACTACAGATTGTACACACACACAGATTACTTGCACAGATTACACACAAACATTACAAATACAGATTACACACACATTGCATACACACAGATTACACACATTACACACAGATTACACAGACACGTTACAAGTACAGATTACACACACACAGACTACACGTACAGAGTACACACACACAGACTACACACACATTATACGTACAAAGATTACACTCCAGATTACACACACACAGATGACACGTATTGATTAGACAAACAGATGACACATACAGATTATATACACAGATTACACGTACAGAATCCATATACACAGATTACACACACAGATTACACATACACATTACACACACACATTACATACACAGATTACACATACAGATTACATACACATTACACGTACAGAATCCATATACACAGATTACACATACAGATGACACACACAGATTACACGTACAGAATGCATATACACAGATTACACACACAGATTACACACACACATTACACACACACAGATTACACGTACAGAATACATATACACAGATTACACATATACACACACACATTACATACACAGATTACACGTACATAATACATATACACAGATTACACATACAGATTACACACACACATTACATACACACATTACACATACAGATTACACGTACAGAATCCATATACACAGATTACACATACACATTACACACACATTACATACACACATTACACGTACATAATCCATATACACATATTACACATACACATTACACACACACATTACACACACAGATTACACATACAGAATACATATACACAGATGACACACATTACATACACAGATTACACGTACAGAATACATATACACAGATTACACATACAGATGACACACACATTACATACACAGATTACACGTACAGATGACACACACATTACATACACAGATTACATGTACAGAATCCATATACACAGATTACACATACAGATTACACACACACATTGCACACACAGATTACACGTACAGAATCCATATACCCAGATTACACATACAGATTACACACACACACATTACACACACAGATTACATGTACAGAATCCATATACACAGATTACACATACAGATGACACACACACATTACACACACAGATTACACGTACAGAATACATATACACAGATTACACATACACGGATTACACATACACATTAACACACAGATTACACGTACAGAATACATATACACAGATTACATATACAAATGACACACACACATTACATACACAGATTACACGTACATAATCCATATACACATTACACATACACATTACATACACAGATTACACGTACATAATCCATATACACAGATTACACATACAGATGACACACACACATTACACACACAGATTACACGTACAGAATCTTTATGCACAGATTACACATACACAGATTACACGTACAGAATCTATATGCACAGATTACACATATAGATTACACACAGATTACACATACAGATTACACACACAGATTACACGTACAGATTACACATACAGAATACATATACACAGATTACACACACAGATTACACGTACAGAATCCATATACACAGATTACATATACACAGATTACATATACACAGATTACATATACAGATTACATACACAGATTACATATACACAGATTACACATACAGATTACACATACACAGATTACACACACACATTACACACACACATTACACACACACATTACACAAACACATTACATACACAGATTACACATACACATTACATACACAGATTACACACACAGATTACACGTGCTGATTATATACACACGGAGGCCGATCTTGATACCGTTGGTACCAGTCATCGGCAAGTACACTCAGCTCCACATCATCTTGTACCGCATCAGCTCCATCTCTTCTCCAGCCCGTTTGCCCCCCTCTAGCAATCCCTTCACTTCAATCCCACTGCCCGTCACCTAACCCTCAACCCTTGCACCCCCCCCTCTCCATGACCGCCGTCTAACCCCCCCCCCCCCATCCCCCGGCTCAGGATGATGGTGCTCTGGGCCTGCACCGTTCAAGAGGTGGACTTGAACATCGCCGGGGGCGATCAATCGATCAGTCAATCGGTGTCTCTCGCACAGGATGATGGCGCTCTGGGCACTATGGTGGCTAGGAGATGTTAACTACCACGCCTGGTATACAGGAGAACATGAGTTCGATCCCGACCCTGACGCCTGTTGTGTATTTGTAGTTTGCGTGTCTCTCTCTTTCCCTGTGGTCACGTGGATTTTCTCCGGGTGCTCCGGTTTTACACTCAACATTTAGAATCAACGTCACGCGTTTAGAGAATTTGACTGCTACTCATTGTTTTTTTCGGTAAAGTCACGTATGTAGAAATACAATAAAATTATATTGAAATAAAAACAATAACGACGTTTCGATCACAACACAAGCGATCTTCATCAGGTGTCAAGAACAAATCATGGAGGTAAATACAACAAGATGAGAGAATTCAACAAACCTAAGAAACATGTGAAGCACAACCAGTCAGGCCAACAACACAGACACTTCCTGGCGGACCACGAATTTCAGAAGAGTGTTAAATTTCGTGTCCAACCTCTGGATTGCACATACCAGCATAGAATGAAAAAATACGAGGTGCACAGTCAGTAGAAATACATATACAAGCTCACAAGAGGCAAGGAGGGAGGAAAGACGGACAGGGAAGCAAGGAGAGAGAGAGGGGGGGCTGGAGGGATGAACAGAAGCCTTAAATAGGAAATAAGGTTGGGGGGAGGGGCCAGAGAGAGCGCAGCAGCTGAAACAAGCACATCTTGCACATCAACAGAAGCTTCACATAATGTTTCTTAGGTTTGTTGAATTCTCTCATCTTCTTGTTGTATTTACCTCCGTGATTTGTTCTTGACACCTGATGAAGATCGCTTGTGTTGTGATCGAAACGTCGTGATTGTTTTTGTTTCAATATAATTTTATTGTATTTCTACATACGTGACTTTACCGAAAAAACCAATGAGTAATTTTATGCAGTCACGAAAGCTTTAATTCTTTAATAATTTGACTGCTATAAATGTCCATACGTTGATAAGCCATTTCGTTGAGCAATCATCTGTGATAGCCAGGTCGCTTCTGAAAAAGAGCTACGTACCTCAGTGGATCCTACCTGGTGCAATAAAAACAAGTTTCGTTTATAAGAATAGGTTTTACCCTTTTAACTGGCACAAAAACTGACACCTTTATTCAAGGCATCATGTTTGCAATAACCACAACACAAGCAGTCAAAATGCAAACAAAAAAAACTCTCATAATAATATGTACTGTCCTTGAATTTGATTGGTCCACACCCGAGACAGCTTTTCTTAGAGCCTAGTCTCCATTGGTGTTGGACCAGAAGACGCCAAAAGGCGTACAACTCAAAAACAGCGCACTATCAGAGTATTGAGGGCTCGGGGTGAGCATTAACATTATGAGACCTCCTTTGCCAGAAACAAGATATAAGAATAGGTTTTACCCTTTTAACTGGCACAAAAACTGACACCTTTATTCAAGGCATCATGTTTGCAATAACCACAACACAAGCAGTCAAAATGCAAACAAAAAAGACAACTCTGATAATAATATGTACTGTCCTTGAATTTGATTGGTCCACACCCGAGACAGCTTTTCTTAGAGCCTAGTCTCCATTGGTGTTGGACCAGAAGACGCCAAAAGGCGTACAACTCAAAAACAGCGCACTATCAGAGTATTGAGGGCTCGGGGTGAGCATTAACATTATGAGACCTCCTTTGCCAGAAACAAGATATAAGAATAGGTTTTACCCTTTTAACTGGCACAAAAACTGACACCTTTATTCAAGGCATCATGTTTGCAATAACCACAACACAAGCAGTCAAAATGCAAACAAAAAAGACAACTCTGATAATAATATGTACTGTCCTTGAATTTGATTGGTCCACACCCGAGACAGCTTTTCTTAGAGCCTAGTCTCCATTGGTGTTGGACCAGAAGACGCCAAAAGGCGTACAACTCAAAAACAGCGCACTATCAGAGTATTGAGGGCTCGGGGTGAGCATTAACATTATGAGACCTCCTTTGCCAGAAACAAGATATAAGAATAGGTTTTACCCTTTTAACTGGCACAAAAACTGACACCTTTATTCAAGTTTCGTTTAGAGCCAGACTGAACACCGCAGGCGGCGATGAATCGGTGTCTCTCACCGCCACAGGATGATGGGGCTCTGGGCCTGCGCTCATTTGGCTACGTGTGGCGCGAAAGAAGTTCAACACACAGAGCCCAGAATGAACACCGCAGGACGGGGGGGGGGAGGGGCGACCGATCGACCGATCGGTGTTTCTCACCGCCGCACAGGATGATGGCGGCGACGTAGAGAGCCAGGTCAGTGTCGTCCAGCGCCAGGGCGTTGAACCGCACCGAGAAGACAAACTTGGGCTCGAGGACGTGGCAGAAGGGCGTGCGCAGCGAGCGCAGGAATTCGCGCGTGATGAACGCCGTGCCGTACGCCATGAGCAGCCCGTCCTTGTTGATCTGGGCAGCCAGCATCGCGAAGATCACCTCGTACACACCGTACTGGCGTGGCGTGCGCGGGCACACGGGGCACACGGGGCAAGCTGGAGTTAGTCAACGAGCTCCAGTGACGGTAATTCCGTAAGGCTCAGCCGTCGTGGTGAGCTGTAGCTCCTCCCTTTCTGTGCCAGCCCCGCCCACTTTCATATAGCCACGCCCACCCACCCACTCGCCCTCACTACCTCGCAGGCCCCGCCCATCCCACTGTCAACCCTTACCCACGTATTCCCGCGCCCACCGCTCAGATAGCCCCGCCCACTACGCAGTTAGCCCCGCCCACTAATCGGGTAGCCCCGCCTTTGCCCGCCCCTCCCCCCGGGACACACCTTGAGCAGCGTGACCTGGTCGTTGAGGTCGAGGGCCATGAAGCCCGGGATGCTTTTGGCGAACTCGGTGACCTCCCGCACGGACTCCACCACGCGGTAGTGGCAGCGGTTGAACATGCGGATCTCTGGCGTGCCCTTCCGCAGCAGGTCGGCCTGAGCGTCGGCGCCGCAGCCTCCTCTGCGGACTCCGCCGATGCCGACGCCGCCGCCGCCGCTCACCACGGTGATGAAGATGCGGTCGTTGCCGAGCACGCGGCCGCGCGCCGCCGCGTCGCACACCGCGCCGTCGTCCCCCGCGGCGCCACCGGCGCCGCCGCAGGCTCCGCCGCAGCCGCCGCAGCCGGTGGCGGCGGCGACGCTGGCGAGGCTGACGCCAATGGCGCCGCTGCTCTCGTGGATGGTGCCGTAGCCCAGCTTGCGCAGGATAGTGTCCTCTGCCCGGGCGAGCGAGTCGTGGTCGTGGATCACCACCTGCCGGGATGCGGCGGACCAAGAGACAAAAACGTCAGGGTCGGACGTCGCTAAACCGAGTGCGCCAAAAGCCGGACAGTGTCGCGTCGTCAAGGTAAAGGCACCACCCTACAATTGCGTATTCGTGGCACTGCATGGAGACTTGCACAGAGACGGAGAGAATTAGATAAGACACCCACACACAGTGGACGCACCGACTTATACAGGGACCCAGGTTTACATTTAGAACTTAATATTTTCCATGTCACTAATAGACTACAGTAGACGACCGTGATGATGTGTAGACTCCACAGCGATGGCAAGAGGCTGCATACTGGACGTGGCATGCCGGGGGGTGCCAAGAATTCCCCCAGGGTCGCTGACAGACCTGGCTGAAATACATCTCTTTGTATCGATCGATTTACTTATTTAGTTTCCTAGCTGCCATTGATGGAACGAGCTGAAAATCCCAACACAGGACAACAGAGCTTGGGCAATCAGCCAGCGGCCACATCTGCCTCCCCCCCTCCCTCCCTCGTCCCTGAGTCTCCCCTCCTCTTCCGTCTCTCCGTCTCCGAGGATCGTGAGGGAAGGCGAACCGCGCGTTTCCGCTGATTCCGCGTGGCTCCCGACGTTCGGGCCGCGCGCCCTGCCGCCCGCGATGCTCACCGCACTGCCGGCCGCCTTGCCGGCCAGGATGGCCTGCGCCCGGGCCTTGGACAGCGGGAAGATGCGGAGGTAGGCCTCCTGGATGACGCGCGCCAGCGAGCGCAGGTCTCCCGCCGCAGCGGCCGCCTCCGTCTCCCCCGCCCCTCCTCCTCCGCCGCCGCCGCCGCCCCCCCCCGCCACCGTTCCCGAGACCCCCCCCACCGCCAAGCACCGCGGGGGCCCCCCCCCCGGTGCCGCGGGCTCCCCCCCCGACGCCGCCGCGCGAGACCAGGAGGGCGGAGGCCGAGATGGGCCCTCCCACGAGCCCGTTGGCGCACACCTCGGCGATGAGCCGCTCCTTCTCCGCCTGGGGCATCCTCCCGAAGCGGATCGCTGTGGGTGCCACGCGGTCACCGCCACCGGCGTCATCGTCATTCGACAGAATCTATCTGCTGCCGGATAAAGGCATCCTCACGATCACGGCAAAAGGCGTTCATCATTATCGTCATCGTCATCACCGTCATCATCATCATCATCATCGTTATCATCGTCGTCATGGTTCTCATCGTTATTGTCACTATCCGCTGCTGGACGAAGGCCGCCCCCAAGCCGTCGTCTCTCCGGGCAATCTCAATCATCACGCTCACCCTCGTGCGACATGCCGACGACGAGGCACTTCTGGAAGCGGCAGTGCTGGCACTTGTTACGACTCTTCTTCTGGATCTTGCAGCGCTGCTCGCACTGCTCGTACTCCAGCTTCATGCGGATCGTGCGGCGGAAGAATCCCTGGGAGGAGGGAGGAGGAGAGAGGGAGGAGGGAGAGAAGGAGAGAGAGTCAGAGAGAGTGCGTCACCAGCTAACAAGTGGGCGCTCCACACGGTGGAGCTGTCGTCACAACGGCCGTAACAGCGGCACTGAGAACCCGGCACGGGGGATTTCACAGCCAGGGCTCTGATGCACTGCCGAGTTTGGTGTTAGGCCGCGGTGAAAGGTTCGTATCGAGTCAACGGAGCTGCGTCGCCCGAGTAGGAATAAACGGCAGTACGGCGGCTGCCTTGGCATCGCATTATCATTATCATTTCACAAAGCGGGATGCTGCTGGATGCTTCTAGATGCTACCCACACGCCTCAATCTTTGTTCCACTTGTGTACGCATCTCACGTGCTATCGCGGACCGTGCTTTACTGTTATGCAATAGTTATTATAACCCAATGTTTCCATAACGCAGCGTTCTTCAGGAAAGCAATAACAACTACTACCGCGCTGTAGGATAAAACGGACTGTGATCATCATCTACATGTCTTAAAGTGGCGCATCTCATCCGCGGGTCTCAATTCGCCACCACCGTGTATGGAAAGCCAGGAGACTAAACAGAACCTGTAGGGTGAAACGGCCAGAATTATGGGGTAGAGCCAAATTTAAAGAAGTAAGCTTCCAAGAGAGGTCCTATGATGTAGTTGCTCACCCCGAGCTCTCAATGCCCTGATAGTGGCATTGTCTTTGTGCTGTTCGCCTTTTGGCGTTGTCCTCTGGTCTAACACTTTGAGACGAGGTTCTTAAGAAAGCTGACTCTGGTGTGGACCAATCAGTTTCAAAGACAATGCATCATCATATACTACCAGAGCATGTTTTTTTGCATGTTCACCACAAGTATATGTGGTTAATGCAGACATGATTCCTTGAAAAAGGTTTTGGTTTGGTGTTTTAACATCTTAACACCTGTGTTCTTGCCAGAAAGGGTAAAACCTATTCTTACATTCCAATAGAGACTTAAATATATATAACGACTCCGATTGTCTTCTCGCTGCACTGGGAAAATCCCGATCGGCCCTGCAGGAACAGAGCCTTGACCTCGGGGGTCCTGAGAAGAAGGCGATCGAAAGATCTCGGCGACCTCGTTGGAATGTACAGAGGGATCAGCTTCTGCAAATGTGTTTCTTGGGCTGCGTGGGGTGGGTGGAGAGTGAATGACGAGGCTTTGGTGGGAATGCCAACACGGCCAGCAACCCAGCAAAGCGTTGTCGCGAACCGTCGACACGGAGAGACAATGCAGACTCCATCGCGGCGACCCTCGTGACGAGCGGAGTAATTGAAGGCACGGTGGCGAGATGTTAACTACCTCGCCTGGTATGCGGGAGGTCCTGGGGTTCGATGCCGACCCTCACTCTTGTATGTATAGAGTTTGCAGTGCCTCTCTGTCTCTCCCCCTGGATTTTCCTCCGGATCCTCCGGTTTTTCCCTCCAGATTTAGAATCAACATTACACGTTTAGAGTATTTGGCCGCTGTACATTTCCACGTGATAAGCCACTTTGTTGAGGCAGGCTGCTTCTTAAAAAAAAGAGCGACGTAGCTCAGTGGGGTCTTACCTGGTAAAATATATTTTTTTATTTAGTTTAATTTGCGATGACGATGATGATTGAAATAACCTTTTTTTATTTACAGAGCGCCTTCCGTACCACTGCGGGTTCAGAGGCTCTTCGCGTGATTTATGACAAAACATGAAAACATTTACAGAGACGAGCGTGCACATTTTTTTATCACTTCACTTATCGTGAAGTGATAAAAATACATCAAGAGAAAGTATACAATGAGAAAAGTGGTAAAATAACCACGCGGTGCCAAGGTGAGCTCAGATTACGACGCCGACGCCATCACCGCCGGTACCACCACTGCCACCACCGTTGCCACCGCCGCCACCACCACCGCCACCACCGCCACCACCACCACCGCCACCACCGCCACCACCACCACCACCGCCACCACCGCCGCCGCCACCGCCGCTGCCACCGCCGCCGCTATCACCGCCGCCACCACCGCCGCCACCACTGCCGCCACCACCGCCGCCACCGTCGCTACCGCCACCACCACCGCCATCATTACCACAACCACCACCACCGCTACCGTCACCGCCGCCACCACTGTCACCGCCACCGCAGCCGTCACCACAGCACTACCACAACACCGCCACAACCACCACCACCGCCGGCACCAGCACTGCCGCCTGCCCCACCTTGCACCCCTCGCAGGCGTGGACCCCGTAGTGGAAGCCGGAGGCGCGGTCCCCGCACACGCGGCACTCGATGGGCAGCGCTGCCACCCCCAGCGCCAGCACCGGCACCTCGGGGGCCGTGCGCGGCGTCGCTTGCGGCGGCGGCGCTACGCCGAGATCAGCGTAGCCGGCGTAGGCGCCGTAGCCGGCGTCCTGGCCCTCGACGCTGCCGAAGTCCGGTCCCGGCCAGGGCTTGGATGGCGAGTCGGCAGGGGTGGAGAAGGGCGCAGAGTCGGACTCTGCGAGGAGACGGAGAGAGAGGGAGACAGAGAGCGAGAGACAGAGAGGGAGACGGAGGACATCGCAATCAGCACCTCGGACAGCGGCTGCAGGACACCTGGCCACGTGAACACACCGCAATCCGGCGGTGCACACAACAACACACCCACACCCCGACACACACACACCGACACACACCCACACGCCGACACACCGACTCACCCACACACCCGCACACTCACACACCCACACGCCAAAACACCACATCCACACGCCAACACACCACATCCACACACCCGCACGACCGCACACCAGCACATCCACACGCTGACACACCCACAAGCCCATACGCCGACACACCAGCACACACACACACCCACTTACCCACACGCTGACACACCCACACGCCGACACACCCACACGCCGACACACCCACTCACCCACACGCCGACACACCCACACATCCGCACACCCACCACGCCGACACACCACACACACATCCAAACACCAGCACACCCACACAACCACACGCTCGCATACTCTGGGCCGCACACCGCTCTGAACAACTCGTGAGCAACATCCAGAACGAAACAGGAGGATTTCTCCACAAATCTGGCTGTCGCCTGATGAAGCTAGTTGTAATTACTTGCGAAACGTCGAACTCAGATTGTAAATGTTGTGGCTTTGCTCTTCAACACAGCGGTGTGCTGTACTAGTGACGAATTGGCACGTTTTGTTTACGTAGAAAACCTTACTCATTGCCTGTGTCAGGTGGTGGCGGGTTTACCGACACATTTACGCGATCTAACCCCAAAAAAACCTGTATTATGGTATGTGAAGAGTTTTTAAAATAATTTCGGATTTTTTTTTATTGGGGCAAGAGGCACTGGTGAGTACCATTGTACATAATTCGGAATATTGGCTAATTCGGCAAGGCCAGAGCCCTGTATGTGTCGAATGAACAAGGCTTTACTGTATATAGCTCAGTGGGGCCTTACCTGGTAAAATGAGAAATTGTTTAGTTTTATAATGACATCCGGAAGACTTCGGAACGCTGTTCCAGGAATTATCGCGCAGTGCATCCATTTCGCCATATGTTGTTGAGGTTAATTGTACAAACCTTTTCGTAGGATAACGGATGTGGGTCACGATAATATAGTTTTTTTTTTATTACGCACACGGGCTCCAGTGGTGGTGCCTTACGGCGCCAATACCCCACTCCACACAAAGCCTGTGGCAGCATTCCCGCGAGTGCCGGGGCGAGAAGTGAGAAGCCGCGACGGTCGTGTGTGTGTGACCGGCAATGTGGTGGTAGCGGCCGGCAGAGGTCGGAGGGTCAAGGGGTGCGTGGAGGGCAGAGGGGGCGGCGGTTTCTGACCTGTGCACACGGAGTCGCCCAGGCTGCAGGTGGGACTCACGGGGTCCATGTTCAGGTCCGGCCACCCGAACAGGCCGTCCAGACCTGCGCACGACCATGACCACAGGCAGGGAGACGCCCACATCAACGTTGTGGGGTGACCGGATTCTTGCCACCGCCGCCCACCCACTCGCCCCCATGCGGATGCTTCACCCCGTCGGTCACCGCCGACTTGAAGGCGACGTCCTGATTGGGGGGGGTGGGGGGGTGACAAACGCTTGGTCACGTTCGACTGAAATAAAAACCCGCCTGTGATTGTATCCACACGAGGCCGGGGCAATTCCACGCCGCCTGCGGCCAAACCTCGCGATGACGACGACGTTGTTCTTATTCACGGTCGAACCGTCAATCTGCGTGGCACAGCAGGCTCTGTTTCCTACCGTGGAATGGCCCTGTTACCGACATGGCTCAGGAGGTATCGGAGAAGCCGTTCTTTAACTCCCAGCGATTACCACGATGCTACAGAGCGAACATTCTGCCCAAGTTGGAGTCCTGCTGTCATTTCTGGGGGTGGAGCACCCAATTCCTACCTCACTGATGTACGCGACATAAGTCGGTTTATCACGTAGGCTTTCGCGACCAATATCAACCATAAGAGGTTATTTGGGTTAGATCACGTAATATATAAACGTGTCGTTAAACCCGCCACCACCCGACACAGCCAACCAGTAAGGGCTGTCACGCAACCAGAACGTGGCCAAATCGTCACTAGTACAGCACACTGGTGTGTTGGAGAGCCAAGCCACAACATTTACAAACTGAGTACGACGTTTCGCCAGTAATGGCAACTAGCTTCATCAGGCGATAGCCAGATTTGTGGAGAAGTCTTACTGTTTCGTTCCTTATATAGAGGCGTAGATGTGGTGACCACGCTTCTGTGATCTTGCTCAAAGTGGGGGGAGGGGGGTTGCCGAGTGTACATGATGCATGCGCATTATGCGAGCCCTTTGATCTTGTCCTTCCTGTCTATTGTGTCTATTAAAATAGCCGTACCAACGGTAACCCCTATTGAAGTATGCTGACCTTCATCGCCATGCATTTAAACAATCTATCATTTGATGATTCGCTTCCACGCAGCACTAAGTCGGTAGCTTTACGAACGGTTAAAATTATATGTATTTCGTTTAATTTCGATAGATTCTGTAATTAGTCTTGGCCAGTAGTAGCTATATTTTTTGGGTAAAGTCACGTAGATAGGTTCAAAGAAAATAACTAAAAACTACGACGTACCGATCGCAACACAAGCGTTCGTCATCAGGAAGAACCTATCTACGTGACTTTACCGAAAGACCCAAAGAATATGAATTCCTGCAGTCACGAAAGCTTTAAGTCAACAGTAGTAGCTAGTTTTGCACAGAACTTCAACATGATCAAAATCAATTGAGTGTCCTTGTTGGCATGCGTGTTCTGCTACTGCTGACAGTTGTATTTGGGAGGATTTAATATTTCCCTGATCTTCTTTTAGTCTCGTCCTGATCATTCGTCTTTTTTACCCAACATAGCATTTGCCACAAGTGCAGTTAATCCTGTACACACCTTCTGTTAATAGCTTCAGTAATCCATCTTTTGTACCAGATATGAATTTATGTATTTATGTACCGTGCCAAATCTGACTCTGGTATTTTGTTTTTTCCAAACATCTGGCTAGTTTATCAGTTACTCCCGCAATGTACGGTATTTTTATCGTTTTAATTACTTGGGCAGTTTCAATGCTCGTGTTATTTGATTTAGTTTTGGCATTCAATGCCCTGTAGATTTGTGCATCATTGTAACCGTTCATTTGCAGCGCTTCTTGAACATGTTGAATTTCACTTCTCAAACTGTCACCATCTGACGCTTTTTTAGCTCGATGAATGAGCGTCTTGATAAGAACAGATTTCTGTGCGGGGTGATGGTGTCACTCTGCATTCACATAGGCGTCAGTATGCGTTTTCTTTCGGTAAACGCTGTGTTAATATAATTAAAGATATTAAGCTTAACCTTAATGATATCCTGGTATCACGAGGGTTCTGGTCAACGAGTCAATTAAATTACTCGACACTGGTAACGAACAACGGTTGAGCCAAAGATATGCCAAGACGAGCTGAACATTGTCTGAAGAACACTTACCTCTTGTGGCAAGGTGACTTCTATAAACAAAAGGAGCAGCAATGGGCTTGTGGTGCCACGACCACGGAGCAACTCCGCAAAAGCCGCGATCCCCTCCCGGCCCCCGGCACTAAACACGCACCCGCACGCAGCGCACCCACGTGGTGTCCAACGCGCAACTCGATGGGTCCTCGCTAGCGGCACTTTGCCCCGTCCGTTCCTTGTGGCTGTATGGGGGAGTGGGCAGTGTAGTGGCGAGCCCGCTGGGGGGACCGAAATTGATGTCTTCGCTGGCGTTCCTCAAGAGATGCAGAGGTGCACGGGCGATGATGGGTCACGCGGTGATGATATCACCGTTACTCTACTAATCGCCTGACGACGCCGCTAGTTGTTGTAATCGCAAACTGCGTACTCAAATTGTAAATGTTGTAGTGGGTTTACTCTCCAACACAGCAGTGTGCTCAAGCGGTAACTAATTGCCACGTTTTGTTTACGTGACAAACCTTAGTAATTGGCTGTGTCGGGTGGCGGTGTATTGACGACACATTTATATTTACGCGATCGAACCTAAACACCTTTATTATGAGCAGTTGCCCCAACATTCTGTTCAGGCTACACCCAGGATCTTTGTCTTCGAGGGGGTGAGTGTGGCGCAGTGGTTAGCACGCCGCGCTATGAACCCAGCGACCCAAGTTCGTTTCCCGCTCATGGCCAACACCAATGCTGATTATCTGAACTGCTCCTCGGCCTCCCTTAAGTCAACTGAGCCTCAAATTAGTGCCTGGTGCGGTGTGCAAACATCGGCATTCGGGAGACAAAGGCGGCCGGGGCATAGTGCTGGCCACCCACCTCCTCGCATGCCATGACGGTCTTCATGGGTGCTACCCGCCAACAGCACTTGCCCCAGCAGTCTGTCAAGTCTATACGGGGGATCTTTGTCTATGTGTGGCGGTGTGGCTGTGATGTGTTATCTCCGTGTTGGTACCCGATAACTTTAACCCGCGTGTGCGACGATCATGATGATGATAACGATAACGATGATGATGATGATGGTGATGATCCGAATCGACGAGCACGCAACGTGCCGCGAGCGTGCATTGCGCAGCGCCGGTGTTTGCAGACTCTCGGCCCCCAATCTCCGCCGGACTTTGATCTTTGACCGTCGGAGTTCGAGACGATGACGACGACACCGCCGTGCCATGTCGAGGACGAACTATCCCAACAAAGCCAAACACCGCCGTGGATGGGAGATGTCAACTACCTCGCCAGGTATGCAGGAGGTCGTGAATTCGACCCCGACGCCTGCTGTATATTTGGAGTCTGCGTGTGGATGTTTCTCCGGGTCCTCGGAACTTTCCCTCCACATTTATGAGCAACGTCACACGTTTAGAGTATTTGGCTGCTATATACATTTCCACGCAATGAGCCACTTTGTTGCGCTATCATTTGTGATTGCCAGGTAACTTTTGAAAAAAAAAATACGTAGCTCAGTGGGCCTTACCTGGTAAAATAATAAAAATATTAGTGGTTAGTTAAATAGTTAAATCGACAAAAGGGCACCATGTGCACACGGTGAGCCTGAGTGGGAGTTGGCCATTATGAACGTCGCTCAGACGTCCTGGTACAGTGGTCCTCTCCGGCTGGAGCGTCCGGAACGCTGCTCTGGAAAATATAAACTGAAGCTATTTTTTTTATTTTAGCAGGTAAGGGCCCACTGAGTCACGTAGCTCGTTTTCAGAAGCGACCTGGCTATCACAAATTATTGCTCAACGAAGTGGTTTATCGCGTGGACATTTAAAGCAGCCAAATAATCTAAACGCGTGACGTTCATTTTAGATGTGAAGAGGAAAACTGGAAGACCTGGAGAAAAATTCACGCGACCACGGGGAGAGAGACACCGCAAACTTCAAATACACAGCAGGTGTCAGGGTCGGGATCGAACCCACAACCTCCTGCATACCAGGCGAGGTAGTTAACATCTATTTTAGCAGCCACATCCATTTCGGCCTATTTTTCCTCAATGTACCTTAGCTTCTTCCAACCCTATTATAATATATGACAGGATTACAATGACGTAGTGCTATGAATAGGCGTACCATGTAGCTCTAGTACAACCAAAAGAAGGAGTAGAGGCAATTTTTTTCGTCGAATTCTTAAAAAAAAACAACACCCGCAATGTCTCAAGAGCTTGCAGCCGCAATGCGAACACGTGGAGACGGTGACGGTCCCGTAATAAACAACGGTCAGAGCTCCGGAGCCGCAGGTTGCCGCCGAGCTCCTGGCTCCAGGGCCAGTGGTTCTTAACCTTGACTGCAGCCTTGCACCCCCATTGGTTCTCAATTGTTACAAAAAAGTATAATGTTAATAAACACACAGAGGGCGCGATGAAACTAAGCAAGTTGTACTTTCACGTGCTTAACTTGTGTTTTCGATTATTTACCGTCTTTTAAAAACAAATCTGGCCACGTCTCACACTCCCCAGAGAGGGCATCACGCACCCGCAGGGTGCGTGATGCCCTCCCTGCGGGTGCGTGATGCGCCACAGGTTAAGAAGAAGAACCACTGCTCTAGTGGGTCCTGCCTTACGTGGGTCATCCCTCCTCCGAGCCAGCCTAGCGGCGCTTGGGCAAATACCGAGTGACAGCCGGCGGGAGCCTCGCCAAGTCTCGAGACATGAGGCTCTCCTGGATAAACAAAGGGCATCATTATCATTATTATTGGTGTTATTGTTACGTAAACCAGCATACAGACACAATCTTGGGTTTAATTTCACCTGGGCCTGTTTGAGTGAGGGACACCTGAACACGCGTCTGCACCCGGCCACACCACGTCCAGGATACCTCTCAGCATGGCCGTGGCTGCTCGTCGCGCGCCAACCAACTCCCCGTGGGCTGCCAGCGAACCAGAACCACTGCCGAGCGAGAAACGCAGCCCCCGGTTGGCGCGGGCCGGCGAGG